AAGAAGAAGAAGAAGAAGAAGAAGAAGAAGAAGAAGAAGAAGAAGAAGAAGAAGAAGAAGAAGAAGAAGAAGAAAGGAGGATGGGGAGGAGGAGAAGGAAAAGAAGAAGAGGAGGAGGAGAAGAGGAAGAGAAGAGGTGGGAAAGGAGGAAGAAGAGAAGGGGGAGAGGAGGAGGAGGAGGAGGAAGAAGAAAGAATTAGTAGAGCCCAAGATTAATCTATCTTTTCAAAGGTTTTCTAATTTGCCTATACTATAGGTGTGGTTTCTGTTGTGGCCCCCATAGACTCACAGGGAGTGGCACTATTAGGAGGTATGGCATTGTTGGAGTGGGTGTGGCTTTTGGAGGAAGTGTGTCACTGGGGGCTGGCTTTGAGGTTTAAGATGCTCAAGCCAGGCCCAGTGTCTCACTCTCTCTTCCTGCTGCCTGTGGATCCAGATGTAGAACTCTCAGCTAACTCTACAGCACCATGTCTGCCTGCATGCCACCATGCTTCCAGTCATGACAATAATGAACTAGAGCTCTGAAAAGCAGCCTAAATTGAATGTTTTCCTTTGTAAGAGTTGCCATGGTAATGGTGTCCTTTCACAGCAATGAAACCCTCACTAAGACAGTGACCTTACCTATTTTAAGAATAGCATTTAAGGAGGATGGAGGGATAGCTCTTACAGGGGACCCAGGCTCAGTTCCTAGCACCCACATGGAGGCTCGTAACCATTTGTAACTCCAGGTCCAGGGGACCCAACACTATCTGAGGGTGCTAAGCACATACATGGAGCACATATGATAAACTAGGCTGCCTCAATCTTGGGCTTTGAAACCATCTTATAAGAAACTCAAACTAGGTCATCCCTGCTTATGATCAATCTGTTTTTCAAAGATTAAGTTATGCCCAATCTGTAACCTTAACTACAGATGCTTCTGTACTGCCTCTTCCAGGAAATGGCAACCATACCTTTGTTTCAGGAGGTTATGACCAACTTTGTTTTATGTTCTGCTTCTGTAACCCAGCCCCCTCCCTCCCAATTTGGAAACTCCCTTACTCCTAAATTATAAGAATCTTATCTTCCCGATGTCCAGCACTGATCTAAAGCCTGCCTTAGTAGGATGCAGCCCTTGTACACAAATAAATCTGGCTATAATGTAATAATAAGATAAAACAAGATATTATCTATCCCAGAGGTCCTGTGTTTCCTCTGGCTATCCCACCACCATGCAGGAGGAAACCATCTTGGCTTTCTCATGAACACTATATTGCCAATTTTGTATAGTTTTGAATTATCTAGAAATGGTTTAATGTAGAAGTTCTCATAATGTGGTCTGGAGAGAGAGGATCAAGCTTTAGATCCTTTCCAGGTTAAAACTATTTATACAATAAATAAAAAATTACAATTATCCTTCTCTGTTCTCCATAGTCCTGATTTTCTACAGGACACTTAGGGAAAATGTGTGGCTTAATGAATCACTATTTTGTTTTGTTCGTTTTCTTTTTCTGCTGTTTTTCTTTTGGGCTTGGAGATCCAACCCAGGGCCTCGTGGTCATGAAGGACATTCACCACCAAGCCACACCTCAGCTCAAAGTCAATGTTTTCCAAATGACCAAAGTATGATGTTTCAAGATCACTTTGATGAAAGATCCGTTCAAAATGCAAGACAGACTGAAGAGCTCAGTGGAGCAGAGTGACCAGCTCCACCGGGATCTTCTCAGATTCTCCAATGCAGCTGAGCTTTGTGGAACCGGCAACTGTTGACTCTTGTGCAGTAACAGAACAGAGTATTCTCACAGTATGCAAAGAAACAGTGTGCAGAAGGCAACTTCCTTTCCTTTCTGTCTTCATATCTGTGGCCAGAGTTCCTTCATAGTTCCACCCAAACAATAGAGTATAGCAGGTTGAACACAGAAATACGTCTGACAATTACTTATGGTGTGTGTGTGTGTGTGTGTGTGGTGTCTGTGTGTGTGGTGTCTGTGTGTGCATACCTGAGTATATGTAGTGCCTTTACTTAGAGATCAGAAGAGGCATCAGAGCCCCGGAACTGGAGTTACAGATGGTTGTAAACTGCCATATGGGTGCTGGAAACTGAACTTGGGTCCTCTGTAAGAACAGCAAATGCTCTTAATTGCTGAGCCATCTCTCCAGCTCTGAGAATTTAAACATCTTCTAGACATTAAAGGGATTTGCAAAAATACAAAAATTATAGTTTCTTGCTCTTTTTTTGGAGAGTGGTTACTTATTTTTATTTATTTTAAGAAAATATTTTCTGCGGCTGGAGAGATAGCTTGGCCACTAAAGTGCTATCTGCTCTTCCAGCGGTCCTTAGTTTAATTCCCAACAACCACGTGGTGGCTCATAACCATCTATATTGGGATCTGATGCCCTCTTCTGGCATATAAGTGTACATGCATATAGAGCACTCATACATTAAATGAATAAGTAAATAAAAATCTTTTAAAAAATTAAAAAAATTTTCTTATTAGAATATGTGATTTAAGCTAATCTTTACTGTTATTATTAGCCAACACATATTTTTAATTTTTCAATTTTAATATCGAATATTGGGAATGTCTGTACATATGGCTTCTTAGTTTCTCAATCTCGGCACAAATGACATTTGGGAGTGGGTGATTCTTTTTTGCAAAGGCTGTGCATTGCAATTTCTCTACTAGACGGTAACAACTGTGTCCTCTACACCAATCTGTCATTCTAGACTGTCTTTAGTTATTGCTCCATGGCTCCTACAGGCAGAATATCCCCCAGGTAAGAACCTCTGATTGACAGACATCTGTTGACTGTTTTGGTACAACCCATGTTAAGGAGAGGTACTCAGAATCTTCATGACCTTTCATGAATCCTGGAATGAAGAAGTCTGATATATTATTCCACGTTACTCTCAGCACAGTTATGGGATTTATGCAGACAATGCCTGTAGCTGCACTCCATGTGTCTTCAAGGTTGAAGAGCAATCTCTTCAGTAAATAGGCAGCGGCATGACAACCTATGTGCAGTTAAATGGCCATCCAGTGATGACTATATGTGTATCTGCATCCCACTGGACAAACAGTGATGGCCGCATTACATCTCCATCCCGCTGCAACAGACCTGTGGTTTGTTGAGAATATTCACCACCATTCACAAAGGTGACATGGGTGGTCCTGATGCACATCTGTTATATAGGTGTTAGTGTGTTCCAGGGGCGTGTGCCCAGGGATGGATCCATGTTTCTAGGTCGCAAACTATGTTTCAACTCTGTAATCTTAAACATCAATCTGTTGGGATGTAGGGAAGCTTGTCCTATATCTTGAAGATGGAAAAAAAGATCATGGGGCTCCCTGTTTCCTCTTTGCTCTCTTCACTCCCTGGTTTGCCCCACTGCTCGCTCCTGCAGGCATCTGCTGCCTCAGCAAGGAGGCAGAATTGACTGTAGACTGGATAAACCTTTCTTCTTCCTAAGTTAATTGTCTCAAGTGTTTTATTATAGTGATGGACAATTGATGAGCACGCACACATACACACACAAGATTAAGGTAGGTCACTGGCTAAAATAATTTATTTGAAATCATTCAGTCTAAATTCAGAAAATTTTCTAGAAATGCTTGAGAATCCTTTTGAGGGTTGTGGCTGTAGCTGGGAGGTGAGTATATAAAGTATATAATTATATAATTTGGAGTTGGCTTGCTCAGTTCTAAAATAGATAGCACGCTTGTAGGTAGACCGTCTACCGAGTTGTTGTTTATGTAGCAAGGTCAAACTTACCGGTGTCCATTTCTGTCCCTTTTCCAAGATCATGAAATGTGTGTTGTCCCTTAAGGTCTGAAAGAACTCCTCCGTGTCCACCACAGTACCATCCTCCTCCAGCACCAACGTGACCAGGCCAGTTGTGATGACCAGGACATCCAGAGTCTAGGTTTGCAAGGGAGCACAGGAACAGGATGAAGGGAACGGGGTGATGTTTATGTTAAGGTTTCAGGGGCCTGGCTGGCTGGGATAAAGCTATACTGGTGAAGAAACCCATTGACAGGTATCTGTGACTTAATCTTCATTCAGAAGAACAGACTAAGGTTTTGAATGAGCGCTCCCCTCCTAGGGAATGAGATGAGTGGTCTAGTGCGTGCTTACAGTTGCTACCATTGCCTGTTACATAGAGGAATAAGCAGACGGTCTCCTACACCTTGTACTTTAAGCACAGGGACTCATGCAACCACCTCAGCCTCTCGCTTCAGAGGCTGCACGCTGCATGCCCATGTCTCATTTCTGTAGGAATCTGAGTTATGCTTCTCTGAGACTCTGTGAGTTTTTCCTTCCATGGTGGCTGAGAACCCTGTTTTAGCTTGAGGACCAGCTATCCTGGTCAGATCTCCCAGGTCATAGTCTCCCTTGTCAACGAAGGACAGTTACATTTTCACTGATGGATGCTTTTAAGGTATTCACTTCTGGACCCCAGTCTTCCATGATGCAGAGACATAGCCACTTTGAGGACTTAGACCTGTTCTTCACCTGCCTGTTAAGTCTCCTCCCAAGGCCCTGAAGCCTACAAATGGACTGATGAGTCTGATACGCTGTCTTTCTTTTCTTCTTCCCTCCTCCCACCTTCCCTCTCTTTCTTCCCTTCCTCCCTCCCTTTCTTCCTCTTTTCCTCCCTTCCTCCCTCCTTTCCACCTTCCCTCTCTTCCTCCCTTCCATCCTCTCTCTCTTTCTCCCTCCTTCCCTCTCTCCATCCCTCCCCCCCCCCACCTCCCGCCTTTGAGACAAGCTCTCTTTGTAGCCCTGGCTGCCCTGCAACTTGCTCTGTAGACCAGGCTGGCCTTGAACTCAGAGATTCACCTGCATTTGCCACCTGAGTGCTGGGATTAAAAGCAAGTGCCACTACTCAGCTGATAAGTTCTCTTCTAAGGTTTGAGTCTTATCACTGGCTTAGCATCCCAGGCCTGGATTCTGAGCTAACAAAGGGTACCTGAGGCTGTGACCACAGTACCTTGCTGATAAGTTCCTGCAGGCTGCTGGCCATCACCCCACGCCGGCTGCTTCGGTCATGGTTTGAAACTCGAAAAGGGCGAGCTGGATGTATGAGGGGTGTCAGCAAGACCTTCTTAGTCTGCAATCCCATGAATGTCAGGGGCCTATGAAGGAGGCACAGAGGAGAACCATTTTTTCAGACAAGGGTTTGGTTTCTGCTACATCAACCCCTAGACAGAGTTTCTCTTCATAACAGCCCTGGCTGTCCTGAAACTTGCTCTGAAGACCAGGTTGGCTTCAAACTCATAGAGATCTGTGTGCCTCTGTCTCCTGAGTGCTGGGATTAAAGGCGTGTGCTACCACCCCCGGGATTTTTAAGAGGTTTGAGACACACACAAATAATGCAATTTTAATATTTGCATCTAAAAGAAAGAAGCGGGCTGGAGAGATGGCTCAGTGGTTAAGAGCATTGACTGCACTTCCAGAGGTCCTGAGTTCAAATCCCAGCAACCACATGGTGGCTCACAACTATCTGTAATGAGATCTGATGCCCTCTTCTGGTGTGTCTGAAGACAGCAACAGTGTATTCATATATAATAAATAAATAAATCTTAAAAAAAAAGAAAGAAGCATGTCACTTAGGAATTACTAAGTGTTACATCTATCCATACCTCCAAAGGGCAAGCTAGTAACTGATTAGCTCAGCACATCCAGGGGCTGCCCTCTGTTTGGTCCTCAGCCCTTTTCCAAACTATATTCATCAAATGTTGATTCAAAACATTTTAGATTTATTTATTTTATGCATATGAATATTTTGTCTGAATGCATATACGTACCGCATGTGTTCCTGGTACCTGTGGAGTTTAGAGGAGAACAAGGAATCCCCTGGAACTGGAGTTACAAATGGCTGTGAGCCACTATATGGGTCCTGAGACTAGAACCTGGGTCCTTTGAAAGAACAACATGTGCTATCAACCTCCGAGCCAGCTCTCTAGCCCCCAGTTATATTATTTTTATGCATTTCTGCATGTACATGGTGTGTACATGTAGGTACAGATGCCACATGCGTGAGCGGCAGTCAGAGGACCAGTTTGTGGGGAATGGTCCTCACATTTTACTTTTATGTGGGTTTGGGGGATCAAATACAGGTTTTGAGTCTTGTGACTCAAGAGCCTTTACCCACTGAGCCACCTTAGCAGCCCACTGGGTGGGTCTTAAACCTAAAACTGTAAAATTATGATTTCTAGTGACTACAAAGTAGCTAAGCCAGTTTAGAGAGTCGATTTATACAGACAGACATATAGGTGCATATTTGTACAATACTGGCGCAGAACTAATTTAAAAGCCAAATACGGCTCAATGTATTAGTCAATTTGGGTTTTTTGTTTGTTTTAGTTTTAGTGTGGGGTTATAATTCAGGGTTCTGGGCCTGCTAGACCAGTACTCTGCTGCTGGGCTCATTCCCAACCAAGGTTTTGAGATCAGCCTAGAAGGGTATTTGAGTATGGTTAAAAATCTGTAACACATGTAACAAAAAGTTAGTTATAACAAGTAATTCATAAGTTAAAGCCATTCTAGACAACACATGACATAAACTGACCAAAGAAACAGGTTTCTAAAGACACTTTTAAATTGGGATATACAATTTCTGTCCTGTCTTAAAACCACACTTTAAAAGATAGAATTTAAAACAATGTTTCTTTACTGAGGTATTAAAATTATACCTCTATGTATCTATATGCAAAAACTTTTCTTGTTGACAACCAAACTTTGTAACATGAGAATAACTGACTTGATATGGATTTTACACTGTTACAACTTGGTTTTTTTGCCTTCTAAAAATTTTGGAAGTGTACAACATTAAAGAGGTTAAAAATCACTGGCTCTTGGAATTCATCACACCCAATCCCCACCCCCTTTCAATTTGCCTGAGCTCTTGCAAGGCACCAACAGAGCCGATAAGAGTTCTTTCAGCCAATGTCAGGAAAGTTCCTAGTATCTTTATAAAATATGTTTATAGGTTAAAAAGTTTTATTTTGCTACTAAAAGTGCTTCAGTGCAAAACTAATTTTTAAGGCTCAAATTGAACAGGAATTGATAGTCAATAACCTTGTAAATGATCAAATCCCTTAAACATGTTAAAAAAATACATTCAAAGTCAGGCTAAAAACTGATGATGCAGTTAATTATAAGATTAAAGCTTTATCTATTCTCCTATTTGATGTTTGCAAGGTACAGCTTAAAACAGATAACTAAAAACAGACAAAGACTATTGAACTCAGATATACTAGGTAAATACTGGCCCTCAAACTTCAGAGATCAGGTTAGTATAACATTTAATATGTTTAAACTTACCATGACAGACAGAGACTCCCAAATCCTGACAGTGACCCCAACCCCTGCCCCTGAGGTCTCCACGAAGATATGGGCACAAAAGGCACTACCTGGAGTGTGGTACAATAACCACTGGGGATAACTGCTCCAATGTCTTGCCTGCTGCTAGGGCCTGGCCTGAACTGTGAACAGAGGACACTCGAGAATTGATTGCTACATGTAGCCAAGCCAAGGTGAGGTCAGTCTGTCCCATGCTCCTCTTCCACAGGAAAAAGTCTCTTCATCTTCTGGGCCTGATTGGCCAAAGTCTGCCTCTGTCCTTGGTGCCATAAAGATGTAGGAGCCTGGGACAACTGTCTGGGTAATAAAATATGGACTAGTTTCTGGAATTTTAATTTATCCTTTTTCAGGTCTCTGATTAAATTGGCAGCTATGCTACTGTAGCTTGACAGCTAGAGAACAACAGACAACTAGCTCCTTACCTCAAGGTAATCCATGACTGGGTTAATTAGTCAGTTTATTAATTAATTAAAACTACTAATCTCATCCCAGCACTTGGGAAGTAGAGGCAGGTGGATTTCTGAGTTCGAGGCCAGCCTGGTCTACAGAGTGAGTTCTAGGACAGTCAGGGCTACACAGAGAAACCCTGTCTCGAAAAACCAAAAAACAAAACAAAACAAAACAAAACAAAACAAAACAAAACAAAACAAAAACCCTACTAATCTCAGGCTGGTGAGATGGCTCAGTGGTTAAGAGCACTGACTCCTCTTCTGGAGGTCCTGAGTTCAATTCCCAGCAACCACATGGTGGCTCACAACCATCTGTAATGGGATCTGATGCTCTTTTCTGGCATGTCTCAAGACAGCTACAGTGCACTTATATATAATAAATAAACCGCGGGGCCAGAGTGAATGGGGCTGGAGTGAGAAGAAAAAGGGAAGGAAGAAAACAAAACAACCCCACTAATCTCTTATTAAGAAGGACAAACAGAGCCGGGCAGTGGTGGCGCACGCCTTTAATCCCAGCACTTGGGAGGCAGAGGCAGGCGGATTTCTGAGTTGGAGGCCAGCCTGGTCTACAGAGTGAGTTCTAGGACAGCCCGGGCTATACAGAGAAACCCTGTCTCGAAAAACCAAAA